AGATGAGTCTTTTAGTACTGGTCAGCCTTTCTTCTGGAAGTTGCCTTTTTTCCTTGATATCTCTTAGTGTTTTTTTCTCTCTCTGGAATAAATATTGCTGTTCTCAGACAGCTACTATACAGTTACTATAGAATTAAGTTGATATTAAACTTTTGTCAAAGACCTGGCATATTTTCTTTAGTTTTAGAACCAGGATTTTGTCCTGATCCAGTTTTAAGCAGTAGAGGAAACGCTTTTTCTCCCTTCTCCATGTCCACTTCAGACATACTTTTCCTTGTCTGTTTTTGAATGAACCAAAAATGTATCTGGCCACTGTTGTCTGTATTCTGCACCTTGACTGGTACCAAGAACAACTTGTATCAGCATGGGGTGAGGTACACGTGAACAGAATGTGTCTTCTCACACATAAATGCCAGTAATGACAATTCCTTTTAACCTCTAGGCAACCAATCAGATTATTATATGATTTTGGATGTAAAAGATGCTTGCATTTTTTTCTTAATCATTGGAACATCTTGAAGATAATCCAGTACTTTGCCTTTGAATTCAGTCTCTGCTGCTGATTTTCATTGTAATATGCATGCTGCAGTGTTGATCATGGGAGCTGTTCCTCCTGTTTTAACAATTCCTGTGCCATACCTCAAAAATTACATACATGTATTTTTTTAATAACTTAGGGGTCCTGCAGTTCAAGCCACAAAAGCTGCTGCTGGTACTAAGAAGCATGATCTCAGCAAGTGGAAATACGCAGAGCTTCGCGATACAATCAACACATCCTGTGGTAAGTTGGGGTTTTTTTCTGGTTTGAGAAAGAAGTCAAGTTGTAGTTGTATGAAAGGGGTTCCTTTCTTCCTATGATAAAGATAAAAACTTGCTCATGTATTTATTCAGGTTTGAATGAATGTCAAATTAATTTTAAAAAGTTGTGTTACCCCAAAGAGAACAGCAAATGGAGCCATTGCCATATTGAGGAAACAGAATTTCCTCTGTTACTTCCTTTAGTGATTATATATTCATGATGTTTATTTAAACTGCTTGGGCCATAAAATCCCTGTTATAATTTCTTAGTTGGTTAGATTGTCTCAGTTTTACATATTTCCACAAAGGGAATAAGAGTTACTATGCTTTACCTACAATTCTCATATTCTAAGACATCTTTTGCTATGATTTCTTGCTGTCACCAAATCACAAAAAAGCAACTCTGTCATGTAAAGCACAGCATAAAATATTTCCTTCTTGCTTGTTCAGATTATTTTAATTTTCAAAATGTGTACCTTCCTTTTGGGAAGCTCACAGTTGGGGCATTACTTTTCCCCCCGTGTTAGGAAGATAGAAACAGATAATAATTATTCCTGTTTCTTCCTACTTCTGATTGAAAGCAATTGGTTAATTTCTGATTTAATATAATTCAGAATTTCTGGCTGGATGTAGAAATGGGAAACAAACCCGTTCTCTCTATTTGTATTTAAAAGCCAAAGTTAGCTCCAAAGTTTAGCTGTGTCTCTGTTGGTTTTACATATGCAAGACTGAAGCAATGTTTTCAGCTGAATGGGTGGTGCAGTAATAAATGGACTAACGTGTGTTCATCCCTAGTGAAGCCAGTTTGGATACTTTTAGGTGACTAATGAGAAAGCCTTGCAATCATTCAGCCTCTCAGTATCGTGAAATTCAGCAAAGTTAAAATACATTTAATAAAGTAGAAAGAGAAGCTGGATCTGAGCTGATTTTCTCCTTTTCAGTTGCAGAAATGAAGTTCAGTGGTGAAATGTTATCAGTTTCTTTACTGCTTGGCTCGTGGTACAATGTCACAGACAAATTTAGCCAAGTGAAATTTTTATTTGTAGCATTTTACTGCTCCAGGTCTCACAGTAGAACAGCTACTCTGGGGACTGCCGTTGCTGTAAAGGAGAAAAGGATATATTGCACTCCAAGGATCTTTCTGGGCCATCAAATACAGGCCCTTTTGCTACAGAGAATGGGATTTTATTGTATTATATTATAACTTACTAGTGTTACAAACTGAGCTAACATGATGTCTCAATATACAAAAGCATTTCATAGGTAACTTTTCTGATTTGTCTCTCTCCTTCCTCGTTTTTGAGACAGATATTGAACTGTTGGCGGCTTGCAGAGAAGAGTTTCACCGGCGACTAAAGGTGTATCATGCTTGGAAGTCCAGGAATAAGAAACGCAATGCAGAAACAGAGCAGCGTGCTCCCAAATCAGTCACAGACTATGGTGAGGAGGGAGAATGTTGTGCTTGTAATAATTTTGACAATATTTTTGACAATATTCTAAAGAAAAGGTTTCTAGAATGAATTTTGGTTTTCCTAAGTTGAAGGAAATCCTTGGGGTTTTTAGAATATTTTCATATTGTTTTAAGGTGAATATTTTGAAAAGGTTGTAGCTGACAAATACTTTGCAGAAAGTAGGATACTTTCAGGAGACCCAGATTCATGTACTGAGTAGCTGTCCCTAAAATCTTTTCTCATACCAGCTCATAAATCTTAAAAATAGTTCTTGATTTGGTGTGACAGTTGCTGGTGCTTTTGGTATATGTTCATTCCTCTGCTACTTAAGCCTGAGGAAGATCATTTTCCATTTATGAAACTGTGGCTTGCATTTTGAGATTTTGTTTTTAAGATTGTTCCTACTAGCACGTACCTCTGTAATTACAAACGTTGCTTTCTGAGAGTAGTCAGGGATAGTTCAGACCAGAGAATTGTACCTAAGGACAGAGTAGAGATCCTAAAAGAAGTTCCCTGTCAGAGAATTTGTATGTGACTTTTTTGGTGCTATAAAAACAAGATTGGAAGGAATCCTGCTCTGCTGTGTAATTCATTATTACAATTGGGGTCCAGACAAAACCAAGTATTGGTGATAAGTTTTTTATTCCTCTTACATTTATTCTTTTGTAAATCCAGATATGTAGGCATAGATGTAGGTACTTTTAAAAGGTGCCCATAATTTCCATCTTTACATTACTGTAAGACTTATATATTTCAGGTCACGTTCTCTTTAAAATGCTTTGAGTGTTGATATCGTAATTTTTGATTATGGGATGACAAAGTTTGCGTAGTGCCCACTTTCTTATCAGACCATCACTGCTGATTTCATAGATGGGTTTTTATTGGCAAAGCAATGCACTAATGAAAGCAAGTGAATGCCTTTGAAATTCAAGAGTGTGTAGGAGCTGCCATGTTTGACACTGCCAGACCTGAAAATTAGGTGTCTGCTTTCTGGAGTGTTATTTGTAGAGTGAATTGTGACTCTTTCCCTGCCACCCCACCCCACTAAGTCCAGTGAATGGGGCCTTGGGGCCTGGAAATGTGTTTTCAAGTGTTTAAGAAAGCTTATGACTAAAAACAGCAGAAAAAAAAAAGCCATTTAAAGCACTTCTGCAAAGTGGTAAATTGCTTTGAATTTGAGCACGCAAATTCTGGCTGGCACTAAATGGCTAAAATAAATATTCGTGCACAGTGTTGCTGATGGGAAGTATCAAAGAGCAGAAGATCTTTGGATTAGTACAAATAAAGCTTGGAATATTCATGATTCCATCACATTTAGTTAGACATTTACAGCATTCTTCTCAATGTTTTCATTGCATTTTTTAACTTTCCTTGAAGCATGGCTTCATAATTCTGAAGAAAATTTAGAAGAGATCAGAAGACACTGATAGTGACCTTTAGAGAGACTTGTCAATGCCAGAAATAATTCTTTCTATTGCAAATAATTACCTGGGCATCTCACGTCTGGGTGTTGTAATGATCTGAGAAGGTAATAAGAAGCAGCTCTGATTTCTTAGGTATTTAAGCTAGAAGTCTTTTAAGTGTCAGTGCATGGGTGCTTCAAATGATGTTTCTTCTTTCTGTCTTCACACTGATGTAATGTAATTTTACAGGTATCCTTTAGTGAAATTCATACATTCGGTATAGAAGCTAAACACCGTGTTGTGTATTATTCGTGGAATAGGCAGATTCGGTATTAAAAGAGGGTTTTTTCCTAGCAGAAATATCAAAAATTACAAGCATTACATTAATGAACGAGCAGATTTGTTACAGCGATCTGGGCTGAGCACGCGCGCAACTGCGGTTTTGTAACAGGCTTTGCAAATCGTTGAAGTAATCGATTTCAGAATTAAATCCTGATGAAAACCAAAGCAGTTGGAAACCTGAAACTTGAGGAGACATTTTATGTATTTCAGTGAGCAGAAGATAAATAGAAATACTGAGCTCAACATCTGTGTTAATTTTGTGACTAGAATTTCCGTTTGTCTGTCATCAGCGTTGCTGAGAAATGTTGAGGGAATGAAACTTGTGGAGGATCAGCACTGCTATGTTTTGTTCAACATGTAATATTTGTTCACAGATTTTGCACCATTTTTGAGCAACTCACGTAAGTGGGGAGATGGTTGTTTAACCTAACTTCGGAGAATAGGAACACCTGAGAGCTCTGAACTAACATTCACGTGTCCAGTGTTTTGCTACATAGTGCATAGAATTGAATTGCTTAAAAAAATGATTTACAATTTGTCCATGTTATTCAACTGATGGTAATTATGTTACTCTAGTAATTTACAAATGTGCTTTACTGCTTATTTTTATGACATCCTGTGCCTTTGAGCAGTCTTGAGAAGGGAGAATGAAATAACCTTTCTATGCAGGTTATTTGAAGGTATAATTGCCTCTTTTTTTCTCCTCCATTCAAGAAACGCTGTGCTTGTTCTCATATTTTCTACTGCCTGCACATGGCTTTTTGTTGTAGCAAAACTCTGGAATCACCTTAAAATAACAGCTCTTTTCCTGGCACACCAACTAACGCTCAGGTGGTGGTTTCTTTTGAAGAGAGGACTTCGCTTCCATAGCACTGAAAAGTAGAGGCTGTGTGGGCTGCTTAGCATTCCCGTCCTCTAGATTTCCCCCTTGGAATTAGGTATGCATAGAGGTAGAAATAAGCCTTAGAAATCACCACTGCAGTGCAAAAAGTGTTTGTGATCGATGTTAAGAGAATTTGCAGAAAATAGAATTAATCTGCTGTGAACTGTAGTCTGTATCTCCCTATAAAACACGTGCTTTGTCAGAGTTGATGTGTAGAAGTAGCACTCACCTCTTACAATCTCTTTTGGTTTCCTTCTCTTGTTTATGTAGGCATGGAAAAAGACATGAAGGGTATGTTTTGAATAGTACATACAGATATAGATATGTTTTTAAGATTGTGCTCTTCACAGTTAGAAAAACTATTTTTTGCTTGAATCCAAGAAGAAATGTCAAGGTGCACTTGCTAGTCTGTTAGTCTTGTTCATAGCTGTAATACTGCATTGTTAGGAGTGATTGTCATTTTTCATTTTTATTAAGTTTTAGCTCACAAAACAGTTTTGCTGCTTGGTAGACAGTGGCCAAAAAGGGAACTCACTTTTAATTATTCCATTTATGGTGACACATGGAAGTGTTACCACTGATTTTTCCTTTGTAGAAAAGGCATAGATTCACATTCAGAGTTTCTTGAACAGGGTGTTTGTAGCAGTGGTACTGTAAAGCACTGAAACAATAGGCTTTTGCAGGAAGCTGTGATTAAAGGAAATGCTCTTACAAACAAGATCCTGTACTTTTCAGAACTGATGATGATGGTGTATATAGCGTTAAGAAGGTCAGTTGGTGAGTTAGCATAGAGAGTATTTGCTTCGATTCGAAAGAAAGTTTCTCTCTGAAGTCTGAAATGTGAGAGACTCTGAGGGAGTCCAAAAATACACCTGGGAAATATTTACCAAAAATATATCTGAAGTTTTAAAATATTTCTTTTAACTCTGTCTATTAACAAATTAGTCATTTCTAACAGTGTTACACACCCCTCTGTGTTGGCTGTCAAAAATCCTCAAGTGGTGCTTTGCATTTTTGTAACTGGAAAGGTTTCTTTGTACTGTGGCCTTGTTTTGCAAAGAGATGGACTGAACCAGAGCAGTTTCTGGTTGGTAAGAAATTTTCTATGAGAAGTTTTACCTTAAATACTGGTCTAAAGCAGAATGTGTTACTTTACTCCCTTTGTTTTGCCTAAATGCACCTGATGCCATTGAGCAACCTGGTATTACATGTGTGTTATATATATATATA